AGCAGAGCCCAGCCCAGCACAGTGCGACCCAGGAGGGAGGGAGGGGTCCTCAAGTAGTGCCATCCCCACCCCAGCTTCGGAGGTCACGGCTGGGAGGACTCAGGGCGGCAGCAGAGGGAACAGGTGCCAGGAGCCAAGTCTGGGAACAGCCAGGCTCCTGTTCCCAAGGCCGCCTCCCTGTGGGCGCAGCCTCAGCAAGAAGTCAGATGGGCCCATGGGGGCGGTGAAGTGTTGTCTGTCCCCAGGCTGCGCCTGCCAGGACTCAGCACCCAGGCTGCGGCTGCGGTCGCAGGGACACCCCCACCTGGTGCACCCCAGAATCCCAGGCCCCTAGAAGGAAAGCAGGCTTTCTGTGTAAACCACATGGTTTGCACAGAGAGCACCCCGATCATTGGGCAGGGCGTGGGGAGACCCTCCTAAACCTTGCTTCCCAGACTCTGGCCCGGGGCTGGTGTTACTTGTGGGGCAGGAGCTCTGCAGGCTCCTTTCTGAGCTCACACATGCTTGACTGCTGCCAGTCAGCACCCACCTGCCCGCCTTTATGTGTCGGGGCACCAGGTGCCCAGAGATCAAACCCTCCCACCCTCACTTGCTCGGCTCCACTCAGCTCCCTCCTCAGTTATCGTGTTAGGTCCCTCTTGGATGGACCCAGGAACAGAGGCCGAACAGACTGGCAGGTGGAAGGGCGATGGGGCAGCAAGCTCCACTGCCCATCATGGGAATTCCCCCTCTGTTTTGGGGGGGCACCCTGTTTCCACACCAGGACGTCAGCACTGCACTTGGGAGCACAGCCACGCCCAACACAGTGCTGTAGAGTCCGTTTGTATTGCAGTGGACCCCCGCCCCCTCATGTCCATCTACCCAAGGGGAGACCACTCCATGAACCGCACCCCCCAGGCCCTCGTCCCGGTTCTGGCCGCCCAAACCCCATGGCTTTCGCTGGCACATGCCCTGCCTGTACCTGCAGTCAGCGGGGAATAACAGTCCCGGGGGGCTCCTGGTGATGATGGGTATAAATGCCCCTCCACCCTGCCTGCTGCTGCCCGGGGAGCCACATGGCACAGATGTTCCCCATATGGATCGAGAGGGTAAGCAGGCCCTAGCCTCCACCCCACACATAGTCCCATCCCAAGTGCATTGATCCCAAACTCCAGCTCACTGTGGTGAAGAAAGTTTTGACCCATGAGGACCCAGTAGGACCGGGTACAGCTGCCTGCCCTGGTGGAGCTCTGTACGGGAGTAGAGAGCCTCATCTTTCTACCTTGAGGAGGCTGATATTGAACTGCTGGCCTTTTGGTTGGTAAGCCAGCACACACCCCACTGTGCCACCTAAATGCAGGCAACCCCTGTCTGGATTCCATCCAGTCCCTGCATCCATCACCCCGGGCTCAGCCCAATAAAGACTGGCCTGCAGCCGAGGATGCCCGCCCCAGGCCTGCCTGAGGCCCCATCCCACAGGGCCCCTGCTCTGGGCTCAGTGGGAGGAGGAAGAGGCCTCCCCAGAGGCCAGACACTTGGGAAGCTCCAGTTGGCTGCATGGATTGTGCCTGTGGGGAGGAGGGAGGCCCAGTGTGCAGGGTGGGGAATGCTTGTCCATTGAGGAGGTCAAGGTGTGGACTGTCCTAGCAGTGTGCAGGGTGGGGAGGACTTGTCCATTGAAGAGGTCAGTAGTGTGGACTAGTCCCTGCAGCCTGGACTGACAGTCCCCTCAGGACCATGGCCCACCCTGATTGGGAGACCTCTCGCCCCGCCTCCTGAATTTTGCCCTCCCCTCCATCCAGCCCCCTGGGGAGCGTCCTGGTGCCCCTCTGAGTTTTCAGAATAAGAGGCCCGGCTTGGCCCCAGCTCTCCGTCCACTCATGGTGAACATCTCTAAGTGGCTCGTTGTCACACCCCGGGGCAGTCCGCCCCATCCTGACAGATGCAGTGTATATTCACACTGCCCAGACGCATCAGCAGGTAGCACATCCTGCTCTGTTGAAGGGGACATGCGTACCCAGGGCCATGAGGGTAGCCCAGCAGCCTGCCTTCAGGTACAGATGAGTGCTGTCTGAGGCCCGAGGGACAGAGGCTGTGGGTGCCTGCCAGATCATAGTGGCTGCGTGACCAGATAGGACCAGGTCTCACCTGTGTCTATGTCTGTGCCCGTCACGATGGGTCTTGGGAGCCATGCGCGTGCATGACCAGGGACGAGATTCCCCCATCCGTGTGTCTGCAGCCCCTGCCCTCGATGTGGACTGGCAGAACAACACGACCTTCGCCTCCTGCAGCACCGACATGTGCATCCATGTGTGCAGGCTCGGCTGCGACCGCCCTGTCAAAACCTTCCAGGGACACACGGTGAGCGTCTGCTGGGCACTGCTCTCTCGGGCATGGGGGTTGGCCGGGAGTACGGGGCCCTGGTTCTCACACCAGGGACTGGAACAGGCCCTGGGCTGCCAGAGCCCCTTGGCACAGTGAGCTCCACACTGCCCTGTTTGCTGCAGTTGGTGGTTCTAGGCCACCAGCCAGCCCATGGGGGGAAGCCAAGGCCGTCTACTCCCTCCCACAAAGCCTGAACATTTCAGAAGCCCCGCAGGGCAGTTCTGCTCTCACTGTCCAGGTGCTATGACTCTGGATCAGCCGGGGCGGTGACTGGGTGGCCCAGGGGCACGTGGGCAGAAGAGCTGAGGGGATATGGGAGACTGAGGCACTGGGCACAGAACAGCCTGTGCACAGCCAGAGAGAAGGCTGTGGAAAACGTAAGGAAAGTCACCACTCAGTTCCTGGAGGAACGGCCACACGAGACCGGGCATGCCATGGAAACTTCCATTGAGATCAGGGGAACAGTCGTACAGGGGCTGGCCTTCAGAACCGAGAGAGGTGCAGGGCAGTACAGTCTGTGCTGTGCCAGGGCCATTGGAAGTTCTGCCAATCCTGAGTGCTGAGACTGAACCTCTCTGAGCCCCAAAAGAACGAGTAAGAACTTGTTCCTTGATGTGTCAGCCTGGGTGGACTAGAGAAACAAATTCATGGGCGCTTATGTGCGTATAAAAAAGAGCTCTATATCAAAGAGCTATTGCTTACTAAGAAAACATCCCAGCCCAGTCCAGATCAAGTCCATAAGTCCGATATTAGCCCATTTGTCTGATACTAGTCTACACATTCTTCTTCAGACTCATGCAACACATGCAATGATGCCGAATGAAGGAAGATCATAGGCCAGTGGGTGAAAAGTCTGGTGGATCCAGTGGTGGCAGAGGCATCTTAGTGCTCGTGTGGGTTTCCACTTGGCTTCTCTAGCTCCAGGGCTCTGGCTGGTATCAGCGTGGCTCCATGTAGCTTGTCAGCAGGAAGACAAAGCAGAGTGTGTGTGTGCCACTCCTCCAGGGAGGAAGGCAGGTGTTTCCAGAACCCTCAGGAGAAGGCCACGCCCACACAGACGCCTCATTGTCTATGACCTGATTGACAGGCTAGACTGCACCCCTTAGCACAAGTTGACAGGAGATGATGTAACTTCCACACTGTCCGAGGTCTAAAGAGAAACCAAAACAGATTTGTCCAGCAAAGACTAAAAGGAGTTCTGGTGGCCTAGTGGTTACACGTTGGGCTGCTAACTGCAAGGTCAGCTGTTTGAAGCCACCAGCCAGTTCCTCAGGAGAAAAATGAGGCTTTATACTTTTGAAAGGATGTACAGTCTTGGAAACTCACAGCAGCAGTTCTACCTCGTCCTAGATGGTTGCAATGAATCTACATTGCAAATGAGTTTGAAAGTGAGAAAGGAAAAATTCAAATGATTCCCTGCAATGTAACTTTCATAGCATGCCTGTGTGCTGCTGGGTTGACTAGAGAAACAAATCCAGAGACACTTGTATATGTGTGAGAGAGAGCTTGGCACCCAGGAATAAATTATACATTAAGAAAACATCCCAGCCCAGCCCAGATAAAGTCCATAAGTCTGAATTTAGCCCATAGGTCCAATATTAGCCCATGAATTCCTCTTCAGACTCATGCAGCACATGCAATGATGCCGAATGCAGGAAGATCACAGGCTGGTCCATGGAAAATCCTGTGGATCCAATGGCAGTGGACGCATCTCCAATGCTCTGGCTGCTATCAGTTTGGCTCCATGTCAATAGCAATGTGTAGCAGAGAAAGATGACATTCCCAGAATCCTCATAAGAAGGCCACACCCACAAGGAAGTGTCATTCAGAGGCTGTGAGCTGATTGGCAGGCTTGACTCCACCCCTTCACTATTTATTAAGTTGACATGAAACTATGAAACTACCACAGTGTACTATAAAATGACTAGGCACACAAAGAAACAGGAAAAGAGAAGATGATCCAGAGTTCATAAGAGGGGGAGGAGGGAGGCAGATCACCAGAATGGACCCTCGGAGGGCTCAGAGTTTCCTTCAAAAACACGAGCAAGTGTTCTTGAAATGTCCAGGGACATAAAAGGGAAACGTGTACCTCATGAGTGACAGGTAAGGCGTCCCCGCAATGAAAGACTCAAACGGGACCCAGCCCGGGATGAAGGCCTGCTCCACAGCTGATTGGAGTTTGCATTCTGAAGAGCGGTGAGAGGCGTGTTGCTGGGTCTGTGGGATGGAGGTGCCCTCCACCTGTGTAACTTGCGTGAGTGAGTGGCAGACGGAGAGCAAAGAGCAGGTGGAGCAGAGCAGTTATTTAAAGCCCTCATGGCCCCCTTTCCCCAATTCCAGGAGCCCTGCAGGCAGCATGGCTTTTATGCATTGGGCCGTAGATCCGCGAGGTCTGCAGTTCTAAACCACTGGCCGTTGCGAGGGAGAAAGATGGGGCTTTCTACTCCCTTTCGGACCTCTTAGCGTGCAGACCGCCTCTGTTAGAACTCAGTTTGTGTGTGTGTTGACTTTGTGTTTACCGCCTGTTTGCCCTGGACGGTGCTTCAACACTGTGTGTGTGTGTGTGTGTGTGTGTGTGTGTGTGTGTGTGTGTATCTACACCTGCTTAGCAGTAACCGTACCAAACCCAGGTGTCAGCCTGTCGAGTCCCACTCTTGGTGCCCCCTTGTGGGCCAGCATAGAACTGCATCCACAAGGTTCTTCTGGAGGGTTTTGGTCTGGGAGTGGTGGGCAGCCCTTTATTCCCAAAGACCCTCTAGTGGGTTCAAACCTCCAGCTTTTGGCTGGCAGCTCCAACCATTTCTTTAGGCACTCGTACTGCACATGCCTTTGATTTCTTCTGTCTGCCTGTGCCCTTGTGAGCTATGACCACTCCATATCCTGCCTTGGCAGGATGCTGGCACGGAGTTGTCCGCTCATGGCTGGAGCCTCCGTCTATTTTCGAATGTTATCCCCCCTCTTCTTTCTCATTTCCCACCACGAGAGAGGGGCAGAAAGCCACTGTTGGGTGGAGAAGGGCACACGCACGTGGATGTCAAACACTCGCTGCCATCAAGTTAATCCTGACTCAGTGACCCTGTGGGACGGCAGAACTGCCCCGTGAGTTTCTGAGATGCAAACTATACCCAGGAGTAGAGAGCCTCATCTTTCTCCCTCGGGGAAGCTGGTGGTTTCGAACTGCTGGCTCCAGCCCACTGTGTAACCACTGTGCCACCTCTGAATTTCAAAGTCCGCCATCAAAATGGCTGTGGATTTATTGACTGTTCTGTGTGAGATCCTCCTTCATGTGGCTGCCTTCCCAGTTGCGATGATTATTGCTGCCATTTTAATCCTGACGCGCTGGCTGGTGCGGTGCCCGGGCCCAGAGCTGGGCTTTAACGTGTCTAAGAGGGGCAGCAAGCGGTTCCCATCAATGGGCTCACGGTTTGCAAAGCTGGCAGGTGTCCTCCGCAGAATTCAGTGGTGGTGTGACTCCCTTTAGGCTGTAACCTCGTGCCCGCTGCCTCGCTGCCCCTCCCTCCCAACGCAGCCCTTGCTCTCTTTCAGAATGAGGTCAACGCCATCAAGTGGGATCCCTCTGGGCTGCTGCTGGCTTCCTGCTCTGATGACATGACCCTGAAGGTGAGCTGGTCGGAGCTGTGCCCCCACCACACTGTCCCAGGGGACCCTTTCTTGTTCCCACCAGGAACAAGGTCCCCCTCCTTTCGTTTACCCCACTGGGAGCTCGATGATGGGGTCCTTGGGCACTTCAAAGGGCAGCACAGTCAGGAGGTTCTAGTTTCCTCCTAGCACCTTGGAATAAAGGCCTGGCTGCCTGGCTCTGGAAACAGGAACCCTAACGGAGTGCAGTTCCATTCAGACACACTAGGGGCACCAGGAGTCAGCACAGCCAGAAGGACCAGAGCCCTTGGTGGTCAGCCTCCATCTGATGCAGTTCTGCTTTTCAGCCCAGGGCCCCTCTGCAGACACTTCTTGTGCAGCCAGGCCTGCGGGGTGTCCAGAGCATCCCCAATGCTCAGGGTGACCTGGGGGCACCCTGCGCAGGACAAGCCTCTGTGGTATCCATAGTCCCCCAAACCCAGGGTTGTTTGGGGGTTCCTTGAGCAGCAGCTATGGGGTGAGGGTGCTGGGGATCCGCTGTGTGTTCAGCACTTTCTCCATCTGCCCCAGATCTGGAGCATGAAGCAGGATACATGTGTCCATGACCTGCAGGCGCACAGCAAAGAGATCTACACCATCAAGTGGGGTCCTGCCGGGCCGGCCGCCAGCAACCCCAACGCCAGCATCATGCTCGCCAGGTAGGCAGGTGGAAATGTGCAGTGTGGCAGAGCTCTGGTCCTCGTCATGGGAGGGTCCTCAGCGTGGCCTCAGAGCATCTGGTGGTGAGAGCCAGTAAGTAGGGGCCAGGCACAAGAACTAGGCATATCTCCAGGGTCCCTGGAGCTATGTGTCCCGTGGTCACAGTCCCCCCACAGAAGCACCTGGAGCCGTGCATCCCCATGTGACTCTGCCCCGTTGTCCCCCAGCGCTTCTTTTGACTCCACGGTCCGCCTCTGGGATGTGGAGCGGGGCGTCTGCGTGCACACGCTCACCAAGCACCAGGAGCCTGTCTACAGCGTGGCCTTCAGCCCCGACGGGAAGTACCTGGCCAGTGGGTCCTTCGACAAGTGTGTCCACATCTGGAACACTCAGGTAAGCCGTCCGGCCCCAGGGACTCCAGCCTCACTGACGGTCGTAGCTTGGAGGGTCTTTCCCCCACTCCCCAGTGGGCACCCTGAGCAGTCCCTCCAAGCTCTTGGCCGTTAAACGGAGTGTGCCACATTGCATTCTGAGGGCTCGGAGCTCATCAGCCCACAGAGTGCCCGCTCACCACTTTTCCTGAGCCCCTGGCACCACATTTTTAGCTTCCATGGTTTTCTCCCCGAGCATGAGCAGTCATCTCAGAGCAGCATTGTTCCTTATCACAGAAGCAACCCTCTAGGTCTGTGGTTCTCAACCTTCCTCACACCGCGACCCTTTCATACAGTTCCTCTTGTTGTGGTGACCCCCCAACCATAACATTATTTTCGTTGCTACTTCATAGCTGTCATTTTGCTACTGTTAGGAATCAGGCAACCCTTGTGAAAGGGTCGTTTGACCCACAAGTTGAGAACCGCTGCTCTAGATCCTGGGCTGCATGTAGTCCAGGGGGGTGGGGCGGGAGGACTCTCCTTCTGTCCAAGGTGTCTAGTATGGAGCAGGCTGCTGGGGAGACTCCAACCCTGATCCATTTGATACCACCAGCCTGGAGATAGAGGTCATTACGTTACAGAAGGTAATTGCCTTTGATGGCATTGTGGAAAGTGATTATATTACAAAGGCTAATTGTGTTATGTGAAGTCATTGCATTACCATGGGTGATTGCATCCGATTGCATTATGGAGGGTGATTACATCACATCACAAAGGGTGATGGCATTAGGGAAGGTGATTACACGGCATTGTGGAACCACCACTGCTCTGATGTTTGTCCCTGCCCGCCCTAGCCTAGCCACATTGGCACATGGTAAGATCCTTCACAGGAAGAAAGGCCTGAGGTGACTATTGTTTCAGCAGAGCTGATGGGGAGTCCTTGGAGCAGAGTTACCAGTCAGGCAAGCCTTGCATCCCACAGGAATGGGCTTGTCTCCCAGCCCACTGACTGCCCCTGTGTGGCCTCTGCAGGACTCGGTGGGCAGGGTAGGGTTGGCTGTGTTCCACTGCACATTGCCACAAGCAGTCCTGTGTGTGGTGAAGCTTGCCATGGTGACTGCGGAGGCAGGGTTCACCCACGCTGGCCCGGAAGTGCCCTGAGCCGACGGTGCTGTAAGCTGCTCTTGCTTTGCCTTGCAGAGCGGGAACCTCGTGCACAGCTACCGGGGCACCGGCGGCATCTTCGAAGTGTGCTGGAACGCACGCGGGGACAAAGTGGGTGCCAGCGCGTCTGACGGCTCTGTAAGCAGCTTTGGGGGCTTGCGGGAAGGAGGCGGGGATAGTGGCTTGACCCTGAGGGGACCCAATGGCCAGGTGTCCGGGGCTGTTGTCATCCGTAGGAGTGGCCTTCATCCCCAAAGGCTCAGGCAGGGCCTGGCACACAGCAGGCACTACCCGGTGCGAATGGAGTGAAGGACACCCCCAGCCGAGTCCAAGATGCTGCCCCACCCCCCACAGTGCACAGGACCCCTACCACAGTGCTCTGAGCTGTGCGGTGCAGGCACAGCCGGTGTGACAACTCTGTCAGTGGTGCCCTCTGATCTGACTTGTCTCCTTTATGGCAGGCGCGTTCAGCGGGAGGAAGAGCTAGGACCCCACAGTTAAAACAAACATTCCTCCCTCTGCTTAGTGGAGAACTCTGAGAAGTCTCTTAGTTCTCCGCTCTCCTGCTTCTGTTTTCTTTGCAGAAGAGGAGACAGGAGTGACACTTCCTTTGAGGAGGGTGGGATTTCATGCCATGACAGTGACACTGGGCTGGCAGTGGGGGGCCTTTTCTGATAACGAGCCCGTGCGTGCGTTATGGGGTGCATGTGGGTTCTGCCACTGCCACCAAACCTTGCCGTGGCTGCATGAAACCAGCCACAGGCAGTATGTGAACAAGAGGTGTGGCTGTGTTCTAATAAAACTTTATTTATAACACCAAGTGGAGGGCCGGCTGTTGGTTAGCCCGCCCTGGTGCCTGCGCCAGGTGTGTGTGTGTGGCCCCCGCAAGTCACTGGCTCTGTGTGTTTCTTGCAGGTGTGTGTGTTAGATCTTCGGAAGTGAGCGCCAACGGTGAGCGTGTGGAGGATCCTCGGTGGTGGACCAGCAGTGTGCAGTGGCCGCACCCTTTAAACACAGTTCTGTCTGCTCCAAAGCTCTCTCAACCTGACTTGCGTTAGAGTGTACTCTGAAAGCAACACGGCCGGGCCACAGGAGTCGCTCTTTTTCCGTAACCTTCATCCAGAAGTTTCAAATGAGCAAACCAAACAAAAGAAACCCCAAGCAGCCTGCAGCCGCCCTATCGGAGGGGTGGGGGTAGGGAAGTGGACGATGGCACCACCTGGATGGATGTTCTGTCTCTGGCCACCAGCTTTTGCTCACGTGGTTTGGTTTCCATCGGTGACAGGACGGAGTCAGGAGGGGTGGGGGGTGGGGGACAAGAAACCCCAACTGTGCCAAAAAACAAAGCAAAATGCTGTGATAAGCCAAAAGAGGGAAGAAAGCCAGCCCCTCCTCCCTGGGCGTGGGTGCGGATGTGCATGTTGGGTGGTGTGAGCACGTGAACATGCCTCCCCCCTGAAATTTGGACACTACAGCTGCTCTCAAAAGGGCGTTCCCAAACCAGTTTGTGCCATGAGACTCCGGCCAGCTTTCTCCTTTCCAGAACTGTGTTTGCAATCCTGTCGCCCAGGGACCCCTCAGCCTGGGATGATGGGGAAACGGTTTGAGGGGTCTGTTGCCTCTGCTCTGTTATTACCCCCGCTCTCCGTCAGGTTTCCTCTGTGCCCCAGGACACCCTCGAGGGAAGCGGGTGGGGGGTGGGCAAGAAGCAGGCCTTGCAGGGGCCACCTACCCCGGTCCTGAGTGGCTAGCCGTGGTCTTGGTGTTCAAGGGCTTTCCCTGAGAGTGCAGCGCAGGGGCTTTTACAGTAGGGACAAGAAGAAGAAGAAGAAAAATTACTTATGAGAAAGAGGCCAGAGTATTTGGGGGGGGGGAGAAAATATTTTTGTGTTGAAACTATTTTAAAATCCTAAAGCGGTCATCAGGCAGAGCTGTATGTGGTCCACATGTTAAGAGGTTTAGCAGAGACACAAAGCAGGGTCTAAGGAGGCCCCCAACAGAAGTTAAGGAAGGAATCTGACCTGGGGGGGCGTTTGCAGCAGTAGGATGGCTCTGCGTCCTGAGAGGACCATGTGGCCACTTGCTTGGGCTCCAGGAGCAGCGTCCCTGCTGCTGTGTGGTCACCTTGGTGGTCCACCAGCGATAACTGAAAAACCTGAAGAGCATTCCCAAGACCCAGCGGACTGAGGCCTCCGTCGACCCCCGGAGTCAGTCCCCTAGACCGCCTCCAGGGCCTCCCCAGCTGGCTTCTCTCCGCCCAGCCGGCTTCAGGGGCTGTTCTCAGAAATGGTGGGAAACAGCATTCGCCCAGGGCAGCAGGCCCAGCCTCCCCCCCACCTCTGCGGGCACTTCGCTGTGACGGGCTCAGAGTGCAGCGGCGATTCCGAAGTCATGGGCCTGCCCTCGGACGTGGAGGAGCACCTGCGACTCGGTGTCCTGAGAGGCCTTGCCTTTGCCCGCACCCAGTGACCGGTCCAGAGGGCACTGACCTCGTTTTCAAGTGCACGGAGGCGGGGAGGCACATTCTGGAAGGAAGGGGCTTTTCCCTCCTTGGGGTGTCGGGAGGGGAGGGCAGGGGAGGGGTCAAGGGGGCTTGCGTTCTGTGGACAACGCCCTGCTGATGGAAAGGGTCATCAGAGGACCGGTGCCGGACTCCCATCGTGGGGGTGAGGGGGGGGGCGGGTGTGTGGCTTCTTGTCCAGCCAGCTACAGAAGCCAGGGTGAGTGGGTGGTCCTCAGCGGAAGGCCAGCAAGGGCTCTGCGCCCATAGCCGCCCCAGGAGGGGGCTCGCAGGCACCCCCTGAGTGGAGAAGCCGGGCCGGTGCTGGATTCCGTGGGCGCTGCAGGCTGCGGGGAGAGCCACTTGGCGCGCCCGCCAGCGCCAGGGGTCCCTGGCTGCGCAGGCTCAGCTGTGGCGGTCATGGTGGGGATGGGGGTGTGCGCGGAGGGAGCCGCCGGCCAGTCCTCACGCCCATGCAAGCAGCCAGCGTGTCCCCCGTGTCCACGAGCCGCTTCATAAGCTCACCGCATCCAGACGCCTCACCATGGGACTGCGGGATGCGCGCGGGGCCGGAGCTTGGCTCTGCATGGCAGCTCGCCAAGGACGTCCACCGCCCAGCGCTGGCCTCCATAGCCACCACCCGAGGCACGCCTGTCGCCGCCGGCACAAGGGGACCAAACGGGCGGAAGGAAAGCCAAGCTGCCCACCCCGTTGGCCAAGGCCCCTTTGTGTCCACGGACGGAGGGATGAGTCTCGGCGGTCTGAGGACGTTCCTTATTCACAGCCCTGAGGGGGCGTCACGCCTGTGTACCCGTGACCAGGGCTGCCCGCAGAGCCAGCGCGATGCTGCTTCAGCAAGTGTCCCTTTTGAAGTGACTACGCCCAGGGACCCGAGCCGGATGGACCTGCCCACCGCCCACGGGACCGCGCCTGCCCATTGCCACCGGACTGGACTTGTGTTCAGACCACAGATCCCAGGGCCGGGTGGAGGGCACTTTCATCAGGTGGAAGGGTCTGCTTCTTCGTCCCCTCTGTTCTTTCTCAGCCTTTCTGACTTGTTTTCTTTTTTTACACTTGTTTCTCTTGGCCACTCACTGGTGTTCTGAATTCTGGCTTTTGCAGTTTTTATTGTCTGTGTCAGACGTGCAGCCAGGCCTGGTTCTCCTCCGCGTTTGCAGACTCCGGCCGTGTCGACCCCTCTCGCCTCCCCGCTCCGGCTCACCCTCACCTCACGCTCTTTGAGAGAAGAGTTCCCTCGTGTGTCGTAGCGCCTTTGTGTGCAGAGAGAATCAGCAGGTCACATTCAGTGTCTTGAATAAATTGCTCTATTTTGATAGGAGCGCTCTCAGGTGTCTGCTTTCTGCGAGTGTTTGGGAGCGCTTGCGCGTGGGGTGCCCGGTAGTCGTGCCCAACGTTTCCTGCGAGAGGATTGTTTGCAGGCCTCTCCTGGGCCTCTAAGCTGAATGGGAAAAGGGGGGACACAGCACCTCGATTGGCTACGGCCACCCCCCCAAGAGAACCTCATGGCACTGAGCCCATTCTGATGCACTGTCGCCCTGCACAGGGTTTGCGATCAGTGGCTGGCGGTCTTTCCGGGGGAGGATAGCCTCATCTCTCTCCCACGGAGCAGCCGGTGGGTTTGAACCGCCATCCTCACAGCTGGCGAAAGTCCAGTGTTGGTCCATCAGGGCCACTGGACCCTGATGGTAATAGAGGCTTATTGGATCGGGAAGCGCTCAGATGCATTTCCTTTCTTGTGTTTAACCTGGCTCTTGGACCAGTGTAAAGAGATACACACTTTTCTCCCACCATGAGCTGGGTTCTGACAGTTTGGCATCCCCGGTGTTAAGGTCATTGAAGAACCACCCAAAGTGAATGCAGTTGATTCTCTCTAGACCAATAGCCCACAAACGCCTGTGTCAAAGCTGGTCGGCGGGGTCCCTTTGCTCAGGGGTTATCCCGGAAGACAGCCACGTTTTCTTGTTTCTCGGTGCTTAGAAAAGCTGTGTCCTCAGTGAACCACGGTCAAGTCAGCACTCACTAACATGATAGAGGAGAAGCTGTGGTGACAACGTGGGTTCCCCATTGGGCTACTAACTGCAAGGTTGGTGGTTTGAAACCACCAGAAGCTCCGAGGGAAAAAAACGGGGTTTTGAGGGAGAAAAACGGGGCTTTGTACTGCCATAGAGTTAGTCTTGGAAACCCACGGGGGCAGTTCTACCCTGCTCTATCCTAATGAGTCAGAATCGACTCGGTGGCAGTCAGGTGCAGAATGAAAACATTGTGAGAACCATGAAACAGTGAGCATGTGCTGGCAGGAAACGGCATAGGTAGACCTGTTTACCGCATAGGTAGCCAACACAGGATGGCTGCACACCTTCCATTGAAGAAGAAGGGGTATTTCTGCAGATCATGGTAAAGTAAGGTACTTAGTGCCTGAGTCTGCCTGTGCGAATGCCGCTTTTCAGGTCCCCTGAAGTGAGTGAACGGGGGTCCCTGCCACAGTGAATGAGCCTGGGCGCTAACTGAACCTTTGGCGGTGGGAGGCCCCTCGGAATAAAGGTGTGGCGATCTGTTTCTGAAAACTCAAACACGAGTGGAAATGGCTCTTGCAGCTGGTGTGTTTCCTGTTTGTGTCATTGCATATTTAATGAATAGGCCTCTCAGTCCTGTAAGATGGCAGAGGCAGTGGGTTCACAAAGGCCCATGCCCAGAATCTGAGGTCTCCTCTGGAGTCTGAGTATCAGAACCCCCAACCTTTTCCCAGGAGACATTCCTGGTTCCTAAGTCTCTGAAGGGAGCCTTGGCAGACTGTAGTTGAGAATGACTCTTAAGGAGGTGTCCTGAGTTTCTGGAGGGGTGAGTTTAGGCTCCTGGAGGGCTTCAGGGTCTTGACCTGGAGATAGAGGGTGAACCATGACATCAACAGCTGCCCCCTTTAGAATAAGCATGTCCTGGCTCCGAGCGGCGTCTGGACGAGGAGACCCAAAAGGCTGGTGAGATGTGTTTGCAGAGAGTGGTTTGGGTGAAATCCAGAACACCCTGGACCCCAGATACAGAACCATGGGGACGCCCTGGGGAGAGCCTGTGGCAGGCCCATGGACGAGTGCCGGGAGCGCAGTGTCAACGCGCTGAGTTTTAGCAGCTGTGTGCCGGGATGTCCCAGCTGCAGAGGCTTCAGAGTAATGTGCCGTGGCCACTGGGTTGCCTGGA